AACCAGGGGCGTAGCAGCACGGCGATGACTGCCTAGTATCGACAAGTAGACGGAGATATCAGTCAGCAAGGGAACCGCTACTCGTTCTGAATGGAGGAGACAATGCGATGTCATTGTAGCAAGTCAGAAAAGGTATGACGGGAACGATACCGACAGTTGAAGCTTATAGTCAGAAAGCATAACTTGTCAATCATAAAAAAAGTAGGAAATTGTTACTGAGGACTCAAGACAGCGGCTGGATATAGTTGGACTCTCGTCAACGAAGCACTAGAGCTGCGGAACTGTGTTAACCTCTACGGATGGAACATTCTACTCAGGTTTCGATCCCACGGCCCGTGCGAAGGCAAGCGTTAGTGCCGTTGTAAAATCCAAACTAGCTGACAGACTTACTGAATGGAAGCCTGTCAGCAGAAGTGGTAGTCCTCTGATTGATGTTAAAACAGGCTAAATCTTTGACCTTGTTACAGGACTATGCGCTCAATTAGGAGGGAAATTACGAGCCCTTCCTGGAGGAACTAGAAAGTACAGTTTACGAATTTATGGCTACACAATCCATAATTCAAATGGAGCATTTCAATGCGCATGTCATAGCCGAGATGAACAAGTAGAAAGGTGCAATTGAAAAAAAAAACGGCTGTAGCGACTGACCTCAACAATAACGGCATGAAGTTGTTGCGTTTAATAGGAAATGAGTCTGAATCACAACCGAGATTTGAGCCAAGACGGTCTTTCTTCCTTTCGAAGTTGATAAGTGGGAAAGAAAAAGGAGACTATACACAGCTGCTGTCGACTCTGCCTTTAAACTAACGCACTCGACCACAGAAACGGAAATCAGCGCCCATCATTAACTTCATGAAAGTATAGACTAACATTCGAACGGTTACAAACTTTCCTGCAATTTTAATCAATCGTATGCCATTAGTACTAGGATTACTGACATACAGATGAACAACTCCATAACTGGTGACTTAGTACACAGTGAACATTGTTGAAGCCGCACCTCAGTTATCTTAAGCTTAAGCAGACTTTACGAAGAAATTAGTTGACTTTTCTAACCCTTTCTCTACTGAAATGTCTAAAATAATGGTTGTGCAGTCAGTAGAACGTTGAATTAACAGTAGAAAG